CCTCAGTATATATAACGCTGTTTGCATTCCTTAGATAGTCTTTTGTGATTGCAGAGCCGTATATAATTCGCTTATTCACGATAGGAAGATTCACGATCAATTCCCTACAAATGCCCTTTCGAAAAACGCTCGACATCATTTAGTGTTTCTATACCGCGAATGACACGTGGCTTTGTAAGAGATTTGAGCGTATTTGTAGTAGCTAGATCCGTAATTTCTATCTCTAATATAAACGATCCTTAAAACTAGGTCCGAAATGGAGCACGAGGCAAGCTTAGAATCGGTTGCTTAGAAACATGAATGACAATAACACAATAGAAAAGGTCCCGGATATACCACTTTGAAGCATGTTGAAGGAAAATCGTTGGTAATTTTAGACATGATCTTCCACAGGAAGCCCATGTAATTAGCGATAGCTATGACAGCTTAGATCAGCGATACATTGGCACCATACTGTGATCTGAAGGCAAGGAGGTATTTTAAATTAAAAATTAATGAATCATCTTTAAATTATTTTTTTTAATAATTTTGCTCAAAAATAAACATCATCGTATTCGCTTCGCTTTTTAAAGAAAAGCTGTGGAAAACATAGACTCTTCAACAGTCTCCTTCTCGGCTTTTGKTCTTCTCACCGTGAGTGATTCAAGCTGAGCAGGAGACTGAGGAAGAGTCTTAAGTCCTCAACGCGCTATTTCTGATTGGCTACTTGCCTTGTGGGTTTAGTATATTAATCTAATTTATTTCATTTATTTACTTTCGCTGTCAAAAACTACTATAATCTAGATGAAAAAATTTAAAAAAAATAATCCCTGTGAAAATGTCAGTTGACAGAAAGCGAAAAATTTCATTAAAATTTTATATTCAGTCTGATATCCTTGAATTACTTTTTATCCAATTATAAAACGGTCACATAATGAAACCCTTATCAACCGAGCACGCGGTTTAGATAATAGAAAAAACTAGCCTTGGGATCACTTCCTTACCGCGGTCTAAATTGAATTTCTATCTTAGACTGACCTAGTTTCCTTCGTGTCGGAGGGACAGGAAGCCCGACACGAAAACGGATKCGTGGAGGAGAAATTKGGGGGCCCTGAAATAATTTCATTGGAAAATAGGGGGGTCTTGAATGTTTAAAATCATAGTTTAGGGGGGTCTTGAGAGTACACGAAATCAATATTTTTTCAAATATAGTAGGCAACCACTGTTGTAGGCGACCACGACTACCTTTGGGATTGAAATTGGAACGTGAATAACAACATTGTGACTAATGTGTTATTTTATAAATAGTTAAACTGGCTACCATGTGATTCATTTTCAAATGAAAAAGCACATTTTAAATGTTATATTACTGGTCTATCATCATTTCCCTCTCTCGCCAGGAGGCGCGTATGGCCTGCACTCTATTTTTCCACCCAGCTCTGTCCCTTGCTGCTGTTTTGGCTTCATCCCATCTCCTCCACCCTACCCTGTTCCGATCTTTTAGTACTTTACTCCTCCATGTTATCTTTTGTTTCCCCTTTGCACTGCTTCCCTTTGGTGGTGTCCACTCCCAAGGCTGTCAAACAGTCATTTTCTTGCTCTCCCCTTATAAGTATATGCCCAATCCATTTCCATCTTCTTTGGCGTATTTTACTACTAATGTTCTCACCTTCTCCCACTTCCCTGACCCTCTCATTTGAAATCTTCTCCCACCATTTACCATTATTTACTCCTCAGGATCCAGTTTTTCTCATCGGTTGGTCAATTTCCATAAAATAATAACAAAACAGGTTCAACTAGCGAGTCAAACATTTTTAGTTTCGTCTTCATTCCAATTCCTCTCACTGAC